CTGTGTGTGTGTCTCTCTTTGGTCAAATATAATGACAATAAATAAAATGAAATAAACAATTATTTTAAAAATATTGGGACCAGCAGTTAGCGTAATGGCTGTGTTGCTGAACTCCCCAGTAGATGACCCGGGGGCTTAAACTCACGCCGGGTGTATGTGTGTGCGTGCCCAAGATCCCGAGAGGAGAATGGAGGAGAAGGGATTGTGGCTGGCCATTCTCCCTGAAGGGTGATTTCTCACTTTCTGTCTCTCTGTCTCTCTGGCGAGTACACATGCCCTATAGCAAAAACCTCTCCAAAAAAAAAAAAAGAAAAAAGAAAAAAAATTGTGTAGTGTTCAAAGGACACTAAGTTATTAGGACATAAATACTTATTAAATTGTGCAGAGCTGGGCTGGCCCTATAGCCTAGCAATTAAGTTCAGTGGATAGGGAGCTAGATCTAACACAGATGACCACAGTTCAAATCTGGGCTCTGACAACTTGAAAAACTTGCTAGGTACATGTTTGTGTATGCCAAATACTGACAGGATAAGGAAATGGGGGGAAAAGATTATGGCATGACCATATTCCATTAGGAGGTGATTTCTCACTTACTCTCTCTCCATTTGTGGCAAGTATACTCCCTGGCAACAACTTGTTTGGCATTAATTATTAAATAGATATAACTGTTAGATATTTCTTTTAAAAATTTTGAAAGTTATTTATTTATTTAATTCTATTTGTCATTATTTAATTTGGCCAGAGAGAAAGAAAAGAGGAAAAACATACTGAGACTTGAACTGTGGTTGGCCATGTGGGAGTCCAGGGCCTTAACCACCATGCCATCTGCTGGCCCTCAATGTTAGCTATTTCTTTTGGTCTAGGGAACCTATGAAAAAATTTCCGAGTCAATATGTGTTCTGTGAACAGAGAATGTTTTGGAGCTTCTGTTCTAGTGTTGAAGTAACAAGATAGGAAGACTCTAGATCCTACTGTAATCTCAGGAATTTCCTGCAGCAGAACTGCCCATCACTCCCGCACTGTGAACCTACCTCTGGGCCACTGTATGTGAATGAAATAAACATCTTTCCTGTTAAAGCCATTGTGTTTTGGGGTCTATGTGTCACAACAGTATTACAGACATAGTAAGTGCCCTGCCCATATCCCTTCAGTCCACATGGAGGCCATCTGCAGACAGTTCCTGCAGGTCTTCATGGCTGCTGGAGTCTGCTGAAGGTACTTTCTGTACACAGCTCTAGGGAGTTACAGTTCCAGTAGTGGCTGGGGAACTACTCCAGCTTCCTTCCTCCTCAGTGGAACGGTTCTGAGACATCTTCTTTGAAGTTTCTCAGGAGAAATGCCCCCATGATATCCTATTCACCAAAATCTGGCTTCTTGATTATCTACCCTTTTCTTTCTCACTTTCTCAATCTCTCATCATGGTTCCTGGAAACATCTCAAAAAATAGACTTGTACCAAATCCTTCTTTCAGGGTCTACTTTTGGGGGAAATCTAAACTAAAAGAAGCAGCTTAGCATGTACCCTAGCGTACATATGTAAATAAGTACAGTAGTTTTTCTTATTTCTCAGGAAATGTTCCGAGACCCTCAGTGGATACCCAAAACTGCGGTTAGTACCGAATCCTATGTACACTTTTATATCCATATGTATTTATGATAAAGTTTAATTTATAAATTAGGCACAGTAAGAGATCAGCAATAACTGTTAATAAAATAGAACAATTATAACAATCTAATAAAAGTTATGTGAATGTAGTTTCTCTCTCAAACGATCTTACTGTTGGGACCAGCAGATAGCATAATAGTTGTGTTGCTGGACTCCCATGTAGTCAACTGCAGTGCAGTTTGAGTCCTGGACCTGGCAGCTTAAAACTCACACCAGGTGCATGTGCATGTGTGCCCAAAATCCCAAGAGGAGAATGGAGGAGAAGGGATTGTGGTGTGGCCATCTCCTCTGGGGGTGATTTCTTGCTTTCTGTGTCTCTGCGAGCGCACCCACCCTAAAGCAGAAATCTATCTTTAAGAAAAAAAAAGTTTATTTCTTCCATGAGAAAGGAAGAAAACAAGCATTCCCAACAGGATCTTGATGCAATGAACACCCCCCCCCAGGTTCAGCCAGTCCCAAATCATAGGCATGCATACAGGCCGCTCACTTGGGGAGATCTCTGGACAAGCACTTGGATCTTTCTATGTGGTTTGTCCAGTTTTATAGTAGCACCACTTTCTGGTCCCCCACTGATTCTTTTTATTTTCCTTTAAATAATTATTTTATTTAACTTTATTTATCCATTTATTTATTTATTTTAATTTGATCAGAGAGGGATAGAGTGGGAGAGAGAGACAGAGAGAGAGAAAGTGAGAAAGCAAGCTGCCAGGTCCAGGACTTGAATTGTGGTGAGCCATGTGGGAGTGTCCAATGCCTTAACCACCATGCCACCTGCTGGTCCCCTAAAATAATTCTTCAAAAAAAAATTCCTGTAGGTATAGTCACTGCAGCATTGTAACAATGAAAACTGAAATTAACTTAAATATTTGACAATGGAACAGTTTTATTAGAGGTTGAAAACTGGTAGTCCTTAGACTAAATTTGTACTGCATGTGTGCTGTGCTTAGCCTGAATAGTGTTTTAAGATCTTAAACCAGCTGCCAATATTAAGAAATCTGAATTATGTTATAAAAATCCAGATTTAGGGACTCACTCTATGGTACAATGGTAGTGTGATGCTAAAGAGAAGCAAGATTCCAAATGGCAACAGCAGTTCAAATCCCCAGCCAGGTCAACCTGGAACATGCCAAGCATGAGAGAGTGCTCAGGACCTAATGAGATGAACGATCAAGGAAGGAGTTACAGAGGTTGCTCATATTTCTGTATCTCTCACTCTCACCTGGGCACTTAAGTACTCTATCATAAATAAAAGAATAAAAATCCAGGTTTTCAAATGCTTTTAAGACTCTGGAATTCTGTAGACAGTCCCATGGTCTAGTGGCTAAGAAAGGTGGATTCCACATGGCTCTTCGTGATTCAAATCTTATCCCTGGAGGCTTGGAAAAACATGCTGGACACATGTTGGGATTTTGTGTGTGCCCCCAAATCCCAAGAAGACAGCAATATTGAGGAGAAAGGACTGTAATGTGACCATGCCCCATTATGGCTAATAATGAAATACATACAATGAGGTAAATATAATGTAGATGTGTACACAGTGGTGTGGAAAGATCACCAAAACATATTGAGCAACAAACAAAAGCAAGATGGAAAATGTTATGTATAAGACAAACAAATTATATGTCCACATATACACACTACAATGTAAACTCTAAAGTTAAGATTTTCTTGTTTTTGAAAGAATTGTTAATTTAATTCCATTTATTATTTTTTAAATAATTATTTTTTATTTAACTTTATTATTTTCAAGTTTGATTACAGAGAGAGAGAGAAAATAAGGAAGCAAGCTACCAGGTCCAGGACTTGAACCATAGTTAGCCATGTGGGAGTCTGGAGCCCTTAACCACCATGCCACCTGCTGGCCCCATGTTATTATTATTTTTTTAGTTTGACCAGAGAGAGAGAAAGTGAGAAAGGAAGCTGCCAGGTTCAGGACTCAAACCATGGTCAGTTGGTCATGTGGGAATCCAAGGCCTTTAACCACCATGCCATTTGCCGGCCCCTATTTTTATTTTTTTATTGCTCTTTTCCCCGTATCTATGTCTCTCTTGTTAGGTACTCAATACATATTTGTCGAATGCATAGGAGAGGGTTTTGAATGATATATAAGAGTGATTAATTCTATTGAGGGAATGGGATGGGGGGTAGTGGTCAAGGGGTACTTCTGGTTTTGTTCTGTATAGTATGACCTTTTTATAAGGAGAACATAATATTGCACTACTTACATAAATTTTTTTAATTAAAGAAAGGTAACCCTGCATAAAATAGGTGATTGAACCAAATTTAAAGTTAGTCTGAATTATTCAGATAAAAATGAAAGGGGATAAAAATAAAAGTTTTGCATTTGTGTGTGAAAAGTCTAATTCAAAACAATTATCAACAGGGTCATGAGTCAGCCGGAGACATTGATGAAATCTATCTCATTCTTGATTTGAGACCAGTTCTATCCTTAACCAGTGGTTACACTGTATTTTCAGATTTTGGTTTTCTTTACTTTAGTTTTCTGTTTATGAGTGTTATATTCAAATTAGCCTGAGAATAAGAGGACATTCAGTTTGAGCCAAATTAAAGGAGCCATTTAAGCCAGCAACTAACTGCAAGAGGACTCGTGACTTCAAAACCTTGCAGCCCTGAAGCAGGGGGGGATCCTCAGAAGGTTTATAAAGGCAAAAACCACAAAGGAAAAAACTACACATCTAAGAAAGCACAGTATTTGAGTTATGAAAAAAACTAGACACCTAAGAAAGTACAAGCCTTGAGTTATGCAAAAGCAGTTAACAAAAGCCAAAAAAGTGAGTTATCAGGAAGGACAGTTATAATTGGCTGGATAATAACGGGCTGTAACCACTGGTGATAAATGACGCATGTGCTGGTGAGAAATACTCGGTTAGGAAGGCAGGGATGGACGGCAGTGCTCATCTACTGGTGATAAGCTTTCCGTGAGGAATTTTAGGAGACACATAGCGGAGTTTACAGGGAAAGGGAAGTCACAACAGAGTCATATCAAAAATGGAGGTGCTCATGTTTCATAAGTCCATCAAAGCCCTAGATACAATGTATAAGAGGTGTCCAATTCAGTAAGAAGTGTTTTTAAAAAGAAAATCAAGAAGCTAGGGTAGGTAGCAAGGACAGGAAATGACAAGAACTTTAAAGCCAGTGAATGGAGATCAGACATTTCGCCTCAAAGGAAAGATAGGCCTGGCCCAGGTATTCAGAGGCATAAAGGACAGACCAGCCTCAGGGGATTCAGAGGCGTTCAGAGCGAAGCAGCACCCCACAGGGCCCTTCCGGAGGCTATGTTTGGAAGCGGCTCCTCTCACCTCAGGTCTGCCTACCATCAGCTCCCTTTTATCCTCAAGGTTTGTGGTCAAGCCCTTGAGACACCCCAGGGGGCAGATGTTCAGAGCTGTTCGAGCCAGCAGGAGCAAGGACACGCGAGGAGCGTAATCTGACTGATGTGTGTGCCTCCACCCGCTTCTGCGGCGGAAGATGCAGGAGCGGTTTCCACAGAGCACAACGCGGTTGTTAGCGGAAAGCAAACTGTCCACCATGAAGACACAGTACATGAGCCCCCTAAATGCGACTGCCCCGGCCGCCTGGGTCCCCAAGCTCGGCTCGAGATCGGCAGGGAGGGAAGGAGGCACGACTGCCCAGGTCGGCTCGGTCTGTTTCACGGCACCGACGTTTATATTCGCACGAGGCTGTGAAGGGCAACAGCGTCCTAAAGTCCATTTCCTAGCGATCACAAGCAACCACAACTTAGAGCCCGCGAGAACGCTGAGAAAAGGATCCTTCAAGTACCACGACGCGCTTCTTACACTTCCGCCGGAAGTCAGCCTCGCACCGGGCGCCGCCCTGACGTCAGGAGTCCGCCGGAAGTCTCCGGCGGGCCCGGGAGGAGCTGGCACGGTTCGGCTGGCTGTTGGCCGAGCCTGGCGGTAAGGCCGCCTCTGCTGAGTGTTTGACCTCCCGGCTGGCTCTGGTTGACCTCCTGGCTTGTCTGACCCTCCTTTCCCCCTTCTGCGTGTGGGGCTGCAGTCCTACCAGCACCCCGCTGCGGGCCCAGGTGCCCCCTGTGTGTGTCCCCTCCAAACCGGCTGCCCCCATCCCTCTTGCCGGGCTCTGGCTCCTGATGTCTTCTCTGTTTCTGTTACAGATTCTCCCCTAGTGTCCCTTCGCAGCCTGCGGCACCCCACCTCCCACTACCTAGGCTTGTCCGCCTGGGGAAAGCTTTGGCCAAGCCCATTCGCTGGGCTCCTCGAATACAAGAAACCTCTGGGAGACACTCTGCCTTGGTCCTTTGTGGGTGCCTCAGAAATGGGAATAGCGATAGGGAGGGATAGACCCAAGAGTACTGGTTCATTTTTTCCCAATTAGGTCTTTCTCCTGAAGTCACGCTCTTGGGGTTCAGTCGACACCCGCTCCCTCCTTCGGAATCCTTTCCCATAATGTATTCCGCCGCTGACTCCTGCGCTATCTTACATGAGTGTTGAATGGTTCTGTGTCTGTAGATGTAGTCTCCTGGAGAAAGCATGCCTCCTGCAGTTTGGGGTGCTACCTGTTGTGCCAGGCGCTTACTGCTGCCCAAGAGGAGCTGCCGTTTGAATTCTCCATGAATGTTGGGAAAAGGAATGCCAGAGCTGCCTGCTGAAAATTATCCAGCCAAGATAAATGTGTAGGCTGGTGACCCTGGATTACCTCGTGAGAATTGCTGTTGTTTATTCTATGTGAATTGATCTGGTTTGGTTGTCTTAGTTGGAATTCCTATGCAGAGTTTTAACTACTAATGCCAAAGCATTTCTAGTATTCTAACATTTCTAGTTTCTTTCTCTCTCATTAAAATTTTTTTTTGAAATTTTATTTTATGAAAGGGAGAGAGGGAGAGAGACAAGAACCTTCAAAAGGGTTTCATGAGCGATCCCTCTCACCCCCAAGTCTGTGAAACAGTGAGCTAGCCTGGGCAGTTAATGACTTCGCTCATTCTTTCTAGCCAACCAGGATCATGAGCATGTGGCCAGGCATGTACAGGTTCACTGAGGGACTGAACCCACAATCTTTCTTATGGATCCAGCGTCCCTTGAGCAGTGTGTTATTGCTGCTATCTCACCAAGCTGACCCCATTTCCAGTTTCTTACTACAGGCCTATATTAGTTGACTCTGGTTCCCTTGGGTGATCCCTGATGGTTGTAACCACTGTTGGAGGGACGCTTCATAGGACAAAATGCCTGATCCTTGGTGCAGGACCCATCACTGCCCCTAGGAGATGCTCATCCTGGCGGCAATGTCAACAGATTATTCTGAGTACATTCTGTATTAATATCTATGTGAATACTTAAGGAAGTGAAAGAATGATTTGTTTCAAGGGAGGAAAGATGGTGGATGCATTTTCTTCCTCACTTTATTTTGGAAGTTGCAGGCAGGAGATGCCCCCAAACAGACCACAGCATTAGATTCAGAAACTTTATCCTGAAGGGGAGAGCTCAGGACCATCGAGGAGGCCCCACTGAGAGGTAAGACTCTCTGGTATGTTCTTGAGGGTTGATGAGTTCTATTTTGGAAGCCATTTAAGAAACTAACATCTGGAAATATGTCCCAGAGAATACTTCACTCATAGCACATTGTCACATTTTCTGTTTCTTTGTAGCTTCCAGGATGGACTTTCTGGTTCTTTTTTTGTTCTACCTGGCTTTGGTGCTGATTGGTATTGTTACGATTTGCATCTGCTCGAAAAACTATCGCTTGAAAGGCCTGGTCAGGGGAGGAGCACAGGTAACAATCCTTGGATCTGAATTATTATTATTATTATTTTTTTTTGCCAGAGGCTCATGCACTCACTGGAGAGAGACAGAGGGCAAATGATAAATCATTCATATGACCACACTGTAGTCCTTTCACCTCTGTTCTCTTTTCAGGTTTTTGGGTATGCGCACACATGCCCAGTGTGATTTTTGAGCCACTGGGTCTAAGACTCGAACTGTGGTCTGCTATGTGGGAGTTTAGTGCCTTCTGCTGGCCCCTAAATTTTTTTTTTTTTTTCAGGGTGTACATGTGCTTGCCAGAGAGAGGAAAAAGCATCCCCACAATGGGGCATGGTCATGCCATAATGTCTTTTTCATTTTTCCTTCAAGTCAAGATTTTGGCACATATGTACATATGCCTCGCATGTTTCTCAAGCTACTAGGGCTGAGACTTGAACACCTATTGGTCATGTGTTTATCCAGCTCCTTTAACCACTAGGGTACAGGGTTGGCTCGAACATTTTTTTTTCTAAATTTTATTTATTCATTTATTTATTTTTTAAATTTGACCGGAGAGAGGCAGAGAGAGAGAGAGAGAGAGAGAAAGTGAGAAAGCAAGCCACCAGGTCTGGGACTTGAACTGTGGTCGGCCATGTGGGAGTGTCCAGCACTTTAACCACCATGCCACCTGCTGGTCCTGATTTTTTTATTTTTAATTGCTGGAGGATAGCAGTGCTTACTAGAGAGAGAACTTCTCAGTGGGATGTGGTCACACTGTAATCCATTTTCTTCTATTTCTCAATTCCTTCAGCATTTTGGAGACCCACACACGTACCTGTTGTGTTTTTTAATCCTCCAGGGCCAGGATTTGAACCTCAGTTGACCATGTGAGATCTGTCTCCCAGTGTGCTACAGGGCCAGTCTGGGATCTGAATTTTCAATACTTTGTTAGTCTGTAAGCCTCACTGGTTTCCTGACAGGTGGACAAAAAAGAGGCTATTTAAATTCATTGGTTTTTTTTTTTTTTTTGAGAGATGTTTGCTGTAGGCCGCACACACTCGCCAAAAAGACAGAGACAGAAAGCAAGAAATCACCCCCAGGGGAGATGGCTACGTTGCAATCCCTTTTCCTCCATTCTCCTCTTGGGATCTTGGGCATGCATGCACACACGTCCCACCCAGCATGAGTTTAAGCCATCATTTATTCTTTCTCTTAATGGCAGTTGTGGTATACCAGAGGCTCTCCCTGTTTTTGTTTTTATTACAGCTGAAAGTAATCGTATGATGATGCTTTGAGATAAGGTAGCATTCTCAGATCTGATGTTAGCCTGGTGATTAAGGCAGCTGCATCCCACATGGCTGACTGTGTTTCGAATCTTGGCCCCATCAGCCTGAAAAACATACTCACTAGGTGTGTGTGCCCCAAATCTTGATGGGATGGAGCAATGGAGGCGTAGGGATTGCAGTGTGACTGTACCTCACTGGGGTGTTTCTGTCTCTCCCTCTCCCTCTCTCTCTCTCTCTCTCTCTCTCTCTCTCTGTCTCTTTGGTGAGTATCTGTGCACTCTGGCAATTGATAATTCCAGCATTCTGAGGGGTGGTATTTTCTTCTGTATTTGGTCCCTGTAATTGGCCATAGATGTGAGTAGTGCCCTCTTCGAGGGTCTTGATGGGTGAAACTGGGGAATGTATGAGAAGAAGGCTGAGCCTTGGGTTGCCTACCCTCCTTCAGGAATCAAAGTGAACAAAATGGAGAAAGTAACCCACGGGACAGGATTGACTTGGGAGGGACCTGCGCTAATGCCTAGTGCTTTGGGGTTGACTTTGGAATGTGGCATTGAACCCAGGGCAGGGGAAAGAG